CGATTTAACTATTTTTCTAGCTAAATTTGTCTTTTATCATTACTACTCCAAGTTCAAGTCTGAGTCAGTGTTGTAAAATTAAGTATTTTGTAGCTAAAATTGGCTATTAACACTCCTACTCCGAGTATGAGACAAAGTCCTAGTTCGAGCCTGAGTCAGTTTTGTCAATTAGGATATTTTTTTTTGTGTTGTCAATTTTCTAGCGAACTTTTTCAATTCGCTTCAGCGCTTTCAGCAGCGACAGTTGCCAACACTGGCGTCAGTGTGGTCAGTTAATAAATGCGCTCAACATTCAGCTCAAAACAGTTGGTGTTGGCGGCGGGACTCGTCATTGTAGTCGTTGTTTTTGTTATTTTTCAATTGAACCTTAGTCGTTGCGTTGTTATCGAAATTGGGTTGAGTTTGATTTGTTTGAATACCCTGTGACCATTTAAAATGGGTAACAAATGGGTATATCAACAGTTGTATGACTATTTTATAAGACAACTACGTAAGTTCGATAAGACGAATCAATCTATTTTGTCTGTCTGTTGCGACGATCCAAATTTTTGGAATTTTCAATATCCTTAGAACATTACTATAAGCAGAGTCTGAGCTTAATGCACAAAGATTTTCAGCAAATTATAAAGATTCGATATATATATATATAATTTTGAATATAGCTTCTCGTTTTCTACTCGCAGAATGAGTTAAGCTTTCAACGATACTTCTAGACACTTGCCCGAAATCGATAAATATCGATACATACAGAAAACGCGATTTTTACAGAAATAGACTTAATAAATTATATAAATATCGTGTATATCTAACTGCGCTTCTTACATACATATACGTTATACAGAAGCTAGCTATATTTATGCGATAACTCTAGCCATTTGCCCAGAATCGATAAATATCTATCGATTCGTAACAGGCTTGAATGGCAGCAAAAATTGAACAATAAACACAAAAGGTATCGAAGATGGAATTTCTCAAAGTGTGTGGTATCTAGAAACTACAGGGTATTTACTAGTCAGTCAGCCCCAATTGTTGCACTCTTAATTGTTTTTGTTTTGCTTTAGCTTTGTTTATCTTATGGTTGCGTTCCAAAAACTTTTACTACGTTTCGTTGATGGGTTTGTGAAAGAGCCAATAAATATTTATATGTATATCTATTTATACAAAAATGCCATGAAATAAAACAAAAATTATGATTAATGCAAATGAAGGGTTAATTGTTGCATAACTTTCGAGCAAAAGTGTGGAAGGCGGCGGCTCAAGCGGCGTATGCGCAATATTCTAATTAGCCGAAGCGCGTGAAAAAACAGCTAGAAATAACATTTAAAAAGGCTAGATTTGTTGCATCTTGCCAGCTAAATTAAAGTTGTATTTTTTTTTTATATTTCGCCAAGCCTGGTTGGGTCTTCAGGCTTTATTAAATTGGAATTCTATTTTGTTTGCTTTCAGCTTGCATGCGACTCTCTAAAAGCTGTTGCCCAAGTAATTAGCTAATTTTACAAAGTTAATTTGAAAAGATTACAAGTTGTGGCGACGACCTTCAAGCTGGCCAAAAACTAACCAGGTTAGGCAAACATCAAGCCGAGAGACTGACGTGCCTAATCACAATAACAAATAAAGCAAGGTTAGAGCCAGAGTCAAGCAACATGGAGCTCTGGCGCACCTTCTGGCTGCTGGCATTGCTGGGCGTGGTCAAGGGCGTGGCCAACAACCAGAGCTCCGCATCCGACTGGCAGCAGCAGAAATTGCAGTTTTATCAGCAACACCTGAACGACTCGCTGCTGGAGCAGCTGCCCGACCTTGATGCGGGCACCTCGCGCGGCGGCCATTTGCTGGAGCCGCATCTGACACGCACCTCGATCATCTTTGGCCTGACCAAGGTGCTCAACGGGAGCAATGCGAGCGCCGTGTGCCAGTCGCAGCTGCGGCAGGTGCAGCGCGGCATACTCAGCAAACAGCCCTGGGCCATGAAAGGTGAGTGTGACGAACGAATTTATGTAAAACTAGAAACAATTACCCGGCGTTGTCAAGGTCAAATGAACTACTTTTTACAAGCAAGTGTTTTAATTTAGAGAAATGACAAATTTTCCCATTTAACGGACCTTTTATAAAGCTCGTTTTGGTTAACAAGCTTAAGCAGAGAAGTTTAGCTTCGTAGTTCGTATGATTTGGGCAAAACATCACCAATCAATCCATCAATCAGTCGATCAATAAGTCAATCAAAACTTACTAACTGATGGCCAAGTTGTGAGACTTAAGCAGCAAATATTTTCACAAACTTGAAAACAAAGAAATCATTCCAGCCATAAAGTTGGAAAATGAGTAAAAAACTGTTCATTGTTAAACTATAAACAGAGAAAATAATTCAATCATATTTCTAACTTTTTAATCCTTGACTCGCTCAAAGCCGGGTAATACCCGCAATTACACATATACACATAGTCTATATAACTTATGCTAAATCTTTACTGTAGTTAGACGTCTGAGCATCCGCATTAATAATGCAAACGCAAACACTCACAAATAGGTGACTAGCTGTCAATTAGCATCAAAAACAAATCTATTGACAAAATATGCAACTGTTTGGTTAGTGTTTGGTTACAATTAATAGAAAGCCCCATGACTCAACCTAAAACACGTGCCTGCCCCAAGAGCATGCAGCTTAAACAATACTCAAACCGGTTTTGAGCTGTGCCGGTTCGAGCCTGGAACTCGATGCGGGAGAGTCAAATCAGAGCCTATCGGACATGCTGGTTCAAACCATTCATGTTGACTAGAAGCGGACGAACGCTGGATCAAATCTGGCAGGCATTTCCAATTTTTATTTGTTTAGTAATTGAGCTGAGCCTCAAGTCGAATCAGATGCCCAAAATATTTGCAAGGCCTAAGCCGACTAAGAGAAAGAACGCTGGTTCAAATCGCGTCGCAATTTCCAAAGATTTGTTTAGATTGAGCCAAGACTCAAAAAGAACCAGATGCTCCAAAAACAATCGGACAAATGAACTTACCGGACATGCTGGTTCAAACCACATTTGTTGACCGGTTCAAATCCTGCAGAAATTTCCACTCATTTTTTTGCGTGTAAACTGATGAAATTTCCATTCCCGTTAATTACAGTACTCGACGCATCCGGCACAAAGCCCTCTGGCTTTATTTACGGACAAAACTATTGGCTGGGCAGCCGGGAGGCGTGCAAGGGCGTCCAGCGTCCGGTGGGCATAACATTGTCGAAGAACTTTGAACGTGTGATGCACCATGGGCTGATCACACAGCAGTCGCCGTTCGATATGGACTATCGTGTGATCTATCTGCGTCACAATTCGCCGTGGCAGGTGGAGATCAAGCTGATGTCCGAGCAGATCATACACATTGGCCTGTGTCTGCCCAGGGCGTGCACATCGGGCGAGGTGAAGCAGCTGGCCGGTGAGTATGTCTCGCGCGGCATGTTCGCCGATAACGACATCTTCGACATACGGCCGGAGGTGCTCTACATGAAGGATCTGCAGCTGCGCGATGTCTTCTATCGGCGCTCCAGCTTCCGGCTGCTTGTGGCCTGCGTCTTGGCCACGGCCGGGCTTATGCTCTGTGCCCAACAGCTGCTGGCGGCCAAGAAGCTGCCGCCAGCTGGTGAGGATCTTGGCCTGGCGCCAGCCGAATCCGAGCTCTGGCGTGCTCTGCACGCGCTGCTCCGCTGGCAAAAGCTTCAGCAGCTGGTCAGCTGCTACGATCTGCCCGGCAACTGGGCTAAGATCTTTGCGGTGCGCGAAAACAACGCACGCGAGATACCCGTTATGAACGGGCTGCGTTCCGTGTGCGCCATTTGGATCATGATCTTCCATGTGGTGTGGTTCATGTACTTCACCGTGCACAACAAAACCGTGCTCATCACCTATGCGGAGCAGGCGTTCTTCCAGTACGTCTCCTCGGCGCCGCTGCTGGTCGATGTCTTCTTTACCATCAGGTGGGTTGAGATCCCTGAAGTAATCCTTCTTTAATCTTCCCACTCCTGACTTCAGTGGCTTCTTGCAAACGTACAACTTTCTGCGCAACGCAGCGCAGCTGGACACAGTGCGTCGCAATGGCTGGCTCAAGAATCTCCGGCTCTTTGGCAAGCTGCTCTTCCACCGATATCTGCGCCTGGGTCCACTATATCTAGTGGTGATGGCCTCGGTGGATGTGGTTTATGCCTACATTGGCGACACTTCGGTTTATCACATCAACGAACGCTTCGACGAGATGTGCTCCAGGCACTGGTGGCGCAATCTTCTTTTCATACAGAATCTCTTCGACCATCGCGACATGTGCGCCAACTGGAGCTGGTCTCTCGCCTGCGAGATGCAGTTCTTCATACTCGCCAACGTTTTGCTCTTCCTTTATGCCAAGTAAGCTTAAGGAATCAGTTCTTCCTGGTTATTATCTACAAGCACTTGCCCTTCTCCCTTTGCAGGCATCCCAGGCTGACGAAGGGTTTGGTGGCCGCGGCTCTGGTGTCCACCATCGCGTGGTCCTATGCCATCGGGCTGAGCATTAGGTTTCAGCTGTCGTTCGATGCGGCCTTTGCCACCGGCACGGAGATCTATACATCGCCCTTTGTACGCATTCTGCCCTACATTCTGGGCGCAATCACGGCCTGGTCGCTGCTGGAGTGGCGTCCGCAGCTGGCGCTGAGCGAGCTGAGGGAACGCTGCGCCTGGCACCTGGCGCTGCTCGTCTTCTTCGCGTGCATCTATTCGACGATCCGGCGGGATCTAGGCCCGCTGCTGGCCATATCGCTGTTCGTGCTGGGCAGGCTCTTCTTCTCGCTGAGCGTCTGCTGGATGATTGCGGGCAGCGCGCAGGGGCGCGGCGTCTGGTGGTCGCGGCTGCTGGAGGCCAAGGGCTTCCAGCATGTCAGCCGGCTGTCCTATGCCATCTATCTGCTGAATCCCCTGGTGATTGCCCTCTTCTACAGCCTGACTAGCGCCAGCACGCACGCGGATCCCTTCATGCTGGTGCGTTAAATGAAATTTCCATTAAAAATGATTATTCACATATATTATTTTGCAGTGCGTGGTCAGCTGTGGCTTCGCGGTCATCGTTTATTTGGCCTCCATCGTTTTCTCGCTGGCCTTTGAGCTGCCCTACAGCAATTTGTCCAGCCTTTTGCTGGGACGCAAAGCGAAAAGTGCCTGAAAGATGCCTATTGCTAGTTTTAATTATAAGTATATAACGCCTGCATATTCAATTGTGATCGCTTCCATGTACAACTCACTTTATCATTAGCCTATATTTAGTTGTATTATATTTGTAAATATATTTTTTAAAAAAAATCACACTGAAAACACATTTTAATGAGCGGGAAAATGTTGACTGCAAGCTTGCTGGTATATTTTAGGGCACATGTTTTTGTATTTTTGGCTTATATTTTAGGGCAAATTTTTGTTTGGTATTTACTTTCAAGCAAATTATTATTAACATATAACAAACGTATAAGCCGCCGGTTTTTTTTTTCGTTAATAACAAGAATATCAATATTTGAATAAATGCTTTTTGTAGTTTTTACACTTTCAAATTTAAATTTGCTTGCAGCGGGCTGCTTTAAAGCATACTTTTTGGTCTTTTTTAGCGTCATGCGCAATGTCATTTATCACAGCGCACACATTTTTTGTTGGTATTTTTAGCGCACAGCCGTCATATTATGCACGGATAAATATAACAAAAACATGTGTAGAAACAACACTCAATTAAGTAAAACATGTGTACACTACACTACCACATTCTCGTTTGAAACACATAATTTGATTTAGCCCTGGGAAAATATTATTGTGCAAGGCAGTCTATCGATATATCGATAGCACATTATCGAGCCTTAAACATTGGGAAGCGCGTGCGTGTCGACGCGCTCGCTCTCTTTCACTCTCTCTCGCGTCTGCCGTTTGGCGTTAAATTGTTTAAATTTTTTTAATGCATGCGTATGTGTACGAACTAAGGTAACATCGAACTCAGTGGTGCGCCGGCTGCTCCAAGAGATAGTACGCACGTCTCAAGCGCGGATAAAAAGAGCGGACAAAATTGAAGCGCGTGCGCCACAAAAAGTTAAATTTCTGTTTTCTGCAATATATTGTGAAAATTACGCGCGCGATTTGTTTCTTTTATTGCCATTAGCAGTTAATAAACGTGTGCACAAAAATATGCCAATAAAATACCAGCATATCGTGACAAAGTGATTGAAAGCAACAATAGAAAATGTGAAAATTTCCATTGGCCGAGCCAAAGCGACGCGCAGCATTCAGCATCAAACGGAGCATCCTTGTGAGTGTCCCTCTATGTGTGTGTGTGTTGGTGTTGGTGTATGCGCTAGTGAATGCGTGTGTGTGCGTGCGTGCTCCACCCTCACAGCAGCCGCCTTGAAATATTTATATGTACATATATATATTGCAAATTCCAATTTGCAAAGTGCAATGTGCTCAAAATGATATTAAAAACGTGTTGCCTGAATTAAATCCTTGCGCTCAATTAAATATAAATTGACTATTGTTGCTATAAAATAATATGTGTGCGTAAAACAATTTAAACTGCAGCGCTACAACAACAAGAGTAAAAAGCGCAGTTGCCCTTTTATACCCGTCCTGCACAGGGCATTATGATTTTGACACTCAACTCGTAACGCAAAGAAGATGATTGCTGTTGCCTTTAATGCATTTAATGCATTGTTGATCAGCAGCAATTATTTGGCTATTTTCAAAACTAAATTCAGGAAAGTGTTCAACGCATATGTGAAAGTTGAAAATATGTGCAGTTTGTAAGCAGTGTATTGCTTAGTCGGTTGGAGCCGACTGCAATTTGTGTTCTTCCTTGCCTTTCTTCCTTTCTTATCTGAGATGTCCCGAAAGCGGCTGTCAATCTGCTCTCTCTCTCTCTCTCTCTCTCCGTCTCCCATTCTGTCGCTGTGTGTGTGGGCGGCCGTCACTTTATGTGCGAATAAAAAGCGCCACGGCAACAACAGCGGCGTCTGCGGCAACGACATCGCAGCCAAACGGTTAAAAAAGCTCCAATGCGCCATTAAGTGTGAGATGTAAATTATAAATTTAATTACGCGTGAAAATGATGTTCATTTTAATAAACACATACACATATATGCTTGGTGTCTACATATATGCACATTGCCTTTATTCTATTTTTATAGACATAGCTGCCACCTGTACCCTGCCACCGTCGCCCGCTGCGAAGGTGTCGCCGCTTCTTATCAGCAACGTAAGCATCATCGAACAGCATTGTTGTGCCCGCCGCCGCTCTCATGCGCTTTCTGCTAGCGTTTGTCTCTCTTACACCCACACTCTCGCTAACTGTTTGATATGCTCAGTGTTGCCAGCTTTTTGGGCAGCAAAAAAAAAAAGCTATAAGAAGTGCGCTATGCTTGAAATCAAGAACAGCTCATTTTCGCAAACCGAAGATGAAATACTCTTGCATACAACATATTTAGAGAAGAACATGATATAGCAGACCAAACAAATTGTTATTATTTTACTTAATATTATTCTGATTTTCTTTTTGTTATTATTTGTGTTGTAACTAATCAGTTTTCTGTCAGTCGAAAAAGGCCAGATTTGGCGGCATAAAAAGAGTAAGTGGCAACACTGTTAATGCTTCATATGACGCTTTTGGCACATTCTCTTTAGCTGTTGTAATTGTTGTTGCTGCTGCTGTTCAATTTGTTTTATTTGCGGAATTTCATTGGCGGCTGCTTCTGCTTCCTCTTCTACTGCGCGCTGGCTTCCTTTTGGCACTTCAACTTTGGTAGCTTTGCATGTCGCGTCGCGTCGGTGCTCGCCTTATGGGGCTGACCTTGAACAAGTTCAGCTGCTAAGGCACAGACGCTGGCAGCACTGGCGACAGTGGCGCGCATTGTTGTTCTTGTTGTTTGTTTCTGCCGAAGCCTTGGCCTTGGCTGCACGCTGTCGCCAAATGTTTACTTAACACACACACGCACGCGCTCACGTGTTCTTTGTGTGTGTGAGTACATATGCACACACATATACATACATATGTATGTATATTTACTTCGCAATAAGCAAATGCATATCAATTAATATTTTTAAAAGCGTTGCTGCTGACGTTAACGCTTTCTCCCATCACGTGTTCAAACGCTGCTCAGCAGCTTCCGTGTAAAGCTTCCGCTTGCGCTCCCGCTCCGGTTACCCTTTCCATCGCTCGTCTCAGCTAACACCTGACTAAAGTTGGTCGCGCTAATTGGCTCTCTCTCACATTATTTTTGGCCTGTTTGCATTTGCTTCATCTGTATGCACGTGTGTGTGTGTGTGTGTGTGTATTTAAATATTGCAATTGCACAATTTGCTTATTTGCTTTGATTCTGCTGAGAACACACATTAAAAACATGTTCTACAGATAGCTGCTCGTACATTGAACCCCAAAGCAAAGCAACTGCTGCTTGTGACGTCACAATGTCTCGGCTTTCTATTTCGCTCAGTTTACTTTCAGTTAACGCACGCTCTCCTGCGCGAATGACTCATGTTTGAAAACTGGGCACACTCACACGCACACATACAGGCGCGCAGTCTGCTGCCTGTTGCTGTCGTTCGGCTACCAATCAGCAGCAGTTCTAACGGCACTTATCAGCGCCTCTGTTTAAACCCCCGTTCGCTGAGAGGGTGGGGTTAGGCTATTTTCGGGTAATTAACAAATGTTTTCTTGATAGCCCATAAAAACAGACCCTTCCGGCAGTAACAAGCTTTTAGAGTCAAATGGAGCTTTAAGCAAATACACATTTTAAGCACAACTATGTCTGATAAAAACAATTAACACATTGACAGCTGTATTTATTCGCACATCACAACTGAAAGTCTTATCACTTTTTGAGGAAATATGTCACGTCTAGTGCAGACATTTGAAATATAAGGCTATATCGTAATCGAAGTAGCATATTAGAGTCAAGCGGATCAGACTTCTATAGCATATAGCCATCATATATCGCTATCGCTATTTATAAAACTGTCTTGACTGACTGATTGATTGACTGATTGATGATCAACGCACAGCCCAAACCGTAAGAGCTAGGACATTGAAATTTTCACTGTGGTTAATTTATATGATGAAGGCGCACATTAAGGCGGGGTTTCGGAAATTTCCACCCGTATGCGTGGGAAAATAGCGAAAAACGTTTGTATGAAAGTTTTTTGTTTACCATCCGATCGGCTACAAACTAAATTTCAAAGAGTTTTTTGAGAAAATTTATTCAAGCACTTAGTTCTTTATATCATGCACTCAAAATATATTTTAAAATATCAGTGGATATAAAGATGGGTATAAGGATAGGTTTCAATTTTCCACGGACGTGTACTTAGTGGAGAGATAATATCTAATATTTGGAGCACAGGGCCGGACGGTTCTTCTGTAGAACATATTTTCGTTTTACAATAATTCCTAATCAAACTTGTCATTTATGAGCTCTAACATGCTCGACACACTTGACCTAAATCCTATCAACCTGAGAGAACTATATCATGCAGTTCTATAAGAAAAATCGGTTGAGAAAAGAGTTCTGTTTTATAAACTAATTTATAAACAAGTTTGCTCAATTTTCCCCGCATATCTGTAATTCTAGCCGTAATTCAAAGCGTGCCAAATTTTGTTTATAATTTTTTTAGTGCGCTTGTTCACTTAATCTTTCCCCTCATCAAAGTCTTAAGTTAATAACATTTATAAACTGCCTAAAGTACTCGCGAATTCAGGCATTCAGTTTATAGTTTGTTTAATCTATAAACAAATATCAAAATATTTATATGCCACATACATATGTGTGTGTGTTCATATGGACTATTTTGTGTTTTTATTATCATCATATTGAACTTGGCTACCTGTTGTACAATTTATACACAATACCCATTGAAAGTGTGTGGAATGGGGTATACTGGGAATGAGTAAACTTAACGGACAAAGTGCAAATGACTTTTGAGATTATATAAAGTATATACATATATAAATTCCGTTTCGTACGTTTTAATCTTAGATTTCTTTGGAATACATTTGAATTGCTTTGTGAGTTTCTGACTACGGGGTATCTCCAAGTTTATATCTCATAAAGTTTATATGTATATGCTCGATTTGGAATACATTTGAATAGGAATATATTCCCTTTTGTTTTGAGCACAGGGTATCCCCAAGTCGACTATATTTCTTTCTTGTTTAATTTGTGTGCATTTGCGAGGTTTTATTCGTCTGCCGCGGCTAAGCTGCAACTGAGCATATATAGATTAATATGGCGGGTAAACAAGAGATAAAAATAGTTGGCCCCCTGTAAGCTAATCTCAGACTTTTCCATATATTACAATTTGTCTATATTATATATAGAACACAGTTGCACAACTAATAGGGCGGTGTTTTCTTCTGGAACTGCCTGCATAATGCATGGGGAAACCTGATGCTTGGGTAAC